GATGTCACCTCGGCTAGTCATGAAACGTTTGAAAACAAATTTCCACGCTCGGCGAATAGGCGAAATTGAATTCAGTTAATCCGAGCTACGAGAACTGATCTTCGATACCTTGTCATAGGTGACACATATTGGAAACTTTCTCACACATTGAAAAATGAGACAATAGAGACGAGGTGGTTGTATTTACAGACTCAAATCAGACTATCGTAATTAATACGCCGCTTGCAACACCCCAAAATTCACGTTAAAACTAGGTATTCTAATGACGACGTCACAACACACCAATCTGAGTAGATTTCAATATTTTCTCGCTGGCCTCCATGCATCGAGAACTGTCAGGCGTACCGCGGTAACGTAAAGAGAAACAAAAATGAATAAATACATATAATAATATATATAACATATAAATATATATTTCAGTTTATTATTATGTGAATCAAAAAAGTAGATGTTTCCCTAGAACGGTAACGGCTATCTTGTGACAAGATGTGCGCAGTCTCGTGAACAGAATGCCCCAAAGGTGCGCCGAGGTTCTGAAAAAAGCCACTGCTCCACGTATTTCTATTGTGCATCGTTTAACCCGGAACACAGGCGGGTACGGTAGTTCCACCACCCCCTCCCTATGTTTTACATTTCCCGTTACATTTTCATTCAATGGAAGTTTAGCAACAGAAATTCCTTACATAAGGTTTTTATCGCATTACTGTATGTATACCCAAACATGGTTTCTCTGTCGCATTTATAAGCGCAGATGCTCCAAAAACGCAAATAGGGAGTATGAAACGTCTGTTGTGATGTGTATTTTGAGTTGTTGCCTACCTGAAACACAACTAGAAGCATCCTAAAACCTTTTCGCCATCTACAACACTGAACCGAACTGAACTACAACACCAGTGACGAAACGCAATAGTGTTGGTTGAATTTTCATACAAAATTATTCCATGAATTTTGTTGGGAATTGGATGACGTTGTATGAGAAGATCATGCCAATACGAAATTACACGCTCAGTATGGTGACTGTTTTAGAGGCGCTGTTAAAGTCATTTTTACTAGATGTTTTCACATGAACATCAAATCATTAGCCGTGGTGACGTATTTATTCATGCCACCGGTTCTTCTGATTATTCTCTTTTTTCCTCTCTACTCACCAGTCGATATTGAGATTCGGAACACTTTCCCATCGCTTTTCCAAGGGATCACAAAACAATGACAAAAACCCTCCATGGGATGCTTAGTTTAAGTTTATATAACTCCTAACCGCACGATTCCACCTGGTGTTTTGAACTTGCAGTCTTTGGGTTACCCATTTGGATGAAAACGCAGAAGAAAGATTAGAATGTTGAGAGCAGTTTCACAGAAAGAATAGGAAAATCATGTAAACTAAAGTTTTAGGAATAATAAGTTGATTCATAAACCCCAGTGTTCACGATGCTGAGCCATATCACTCGATGTCTTCAACCTTCGGTTTTGCTGATCCTGAGGTCTCCATTCGGGAACTCTTAGCGTAACCTATATGGTCAAGTCTCTTGGTCAGGGTTTTCATACCCTCATGCCAAGTTCTAGTTTGACCACCTTACTTTCTTCATGCATCCTCCACCTCGGCAAACGTTGCCCTCCATGGTAATCTATTAAGTAAAATGCGTACCGCATGTGTCAATCAACCGAATCTATGGGCGTCGACCACTCGCTCCAGTGGGTGTCCACGGTTGCCTAAAACTCTGCGCTCTAATGCAGCCCTGACCGAATTGCTGGAGCACACATTCAACCCTTCACGGACATACGTATGCTGTAACAGCCCCATTGGTATCTCAAGTTGGTAAACACTAGCCTGCTTTATTCGTGCTGAAAATTTATCTGTAATGGATCCACTAGATGAAACAGCTGCAAAATTGTAAACTGTATACTTTTCAAAAAATCCCTCGATTAAGATGAGTTTGGATGCTGAACCAACCGACCCATGTATCACCATTTTATACTTTTTACTATACTATAAGAAACTTAACTACACATACCATACAGAAAAGCTTGTAAATTACGTGGATCTACTCTTAGTATCACAATGCTGTCTGAATATGCTCTTTCCGGTATTACCCGACTGCATAACTTGAGAATCATTCATCATTTGGTTTCCCCGTGCCACACATAGCACTGATAATCCTTCAATGCACCATACAGTCGTTTCATTTGCGCACGAAATCGTCAATAGCACGCGTTCGTTGGTGATACCTCGAATCAGGGTTGTTTGTCATACACTTTAATACTTAGCTACCCGTTCTAATTCCGCGGATTTGTTTCATCTCTATGATACGTTATGTAGCTCCTATAGGGCATGTTAACCGGTGAAATCATGGTGTCGGTTCAGTACACACACACACACACACACCAAACCACTTCAAACCGCTCAATATACCTAATCCCATGGAAATCACGGTGTAATTCTCACCTGGTCGGAGTGAAATCAGATGATTCCCACCCAGTATTTTCAAACTACGGCAGACAAAATCCCAATTTTATTCTGAGAGTAAATTAATACGGAAACATTTTCACTCTGGGATTGGTTTCAACGATACCCTAGCCCCAATTAAACCCCAACTCATCTCCGGATGGATAAATTGACGGTCAGATAGACAGACATGTTTTTGTTGTTGTTCTCCTAATGCGTATGTGAATCGCGTGTGTGGGCCTGTTGGTAGATAACTAGCCACTTGGTTGTGATCTACCATGATAGCAGGTGGCTTGTTCACACAATGTTTAGTCCCGTTAATCTAATCATTTGAGTCCCCCAAACGCACTGGTTATACGTCTATGTAGGCACATGCACACAGGCGAATCTATTGCGTTTTGATTGACTTGTCCACTTTGGGGCGACAGTGCATCACACTCGTACGACTTTTTGTCAATTGATCGCTCAGGTCCAACGCGATCCGGTTGCGATGGTGGATTTCTGTTCTGGGTCTGTATACCCCCTCTGATGTCTGCTTGTAGATTATACTTTGTTTCAAAGCCAAATTTTACCCCCAGACATTTAACCGAACCTATGCTGGTCCATTATCATGCATGGTAGGAGCGTAAAATATTTTTTTTCACGTGAAGAAACAAAAACGCTGCATATTCCGAATTTAATTAAGTAAGCAAAACCGTGGAGTTTGCTTTGTGTTGATTGTGATCATGAAAATATGAATATGCAACTGGTTGATTAGTAGTATTTGAAAACGGGGCAGTCAACAAGCTGTATGAATATTTGTTGTACTCTATTCATTTGTCACTCTCGATAAATTACTTAGCGGAGGAAAGACACTTCATTCCCAAACGGAATTGCAGGTAGACAGTTTTGAAGCTGCTGATTTTCTTTCAGTGGTGCCCTATTTCCATCCCGGGATTCTATCCCCTAGTCACGGCCGTGATACAATAAACGTCATCTGTCCTAGTGGGTTGGTCACTAATTTTTACGGGTTTTCCTAATAGTTAGGATACCGCTTGTCGTATACGTCAGTTACCAGTTACCAGGCATTTTATTTTCCCATCCATGAAAAATGACTCGTGCGCGTGTATGCATTACCTGAAAACATCTTCAATATTCCTTATCAATTAAGAGGCAGTGGTTACTATTGAGTATATATATATATATATATGTTTATATAATCACCTGGGTTATCAACCAGCATAGTACCTGTGCAACAACAATATTAACAGAGGACAGGAGAATGGGATAGAAAACAGGATAAAACGGAGGTCAAACGGTTACAGTAGATAACAAGTAATTATCTTCCTTTTGTTGATGTCAGTAATTTACCTTCTTGTCTTACACCTGGTTTCATCACTTGTCAAAGTAGTTAGTAGCCGAAAGGGCAGCCCAAATACATTGGCTAAAACCAGCGCACACATGCCTAGAGATTAGTCCAGACTGCGAGTAGGATATGGATGTTCTTTGAAATTCATGAACGGCAGTCGTACTTTGTGCTTTGATAACAAGGGGCACGTTCATAAAAACTAGTTAACCAAACTGACAGATTTCCTTTCATGATGATGTACTCCAAAAATATAAAACTCAGGTAAAATAATTCTAGAAAAAAGACCGAGATGTCTAATGTGTAGTTCAATTCATTTAGCCATCTATCAACTGTCTGTTCTTTTAATAATCAGTTCAAAGATTTTGATGACTGGGGATTCTTGTTGTATCACTCAAACTCTTCCTTCAAGCTCTTACATCTCTTGAAATCCCTATTCGCAAAACGCTTGCTATTTGCATCAAGGTTTCCGATCGGTCACCCATGAAAAAGGTTTAAAGGTACTTGAGTGTTCGGGACAATAATTGCACACTCTATTTTGTGATATTCAATCCAACAAGCACTGTTACCAAGCAACGACCTTATCTAGTCGTGACTAAGGGAACCTGAACTGCCCTGCGGATGGTTTGCCCAACTGGAATCAACCAAACAATCTTTTTCTCTCCGGTGTGCCTGTCATACAGCTGAACCCCACATGCACATTGCCCCGTGCATCCACAATCAATCATTTGCACAAATTATGTCTGTCTACATCCCATCCATCTACCTAGAAGATGCTGGTTTGTATTTAGTCTCCTGCTATCATTGAGGCTCGGGTGCGGGGGGGGGGAGAGCTATCGTACGTAACCAAGTGTGAGAACGTGAGTAATTTCATACATATACGTATATCAGTATCCATGTTTAGGAATTTAAATCTCCTTCCTCTTCGTCGGCGTCATTAGCTCTTTAAGATGCATTCGTGTTTCATGTGACCGTTTCCCTGCTTTATTCGCTGTAATTGTTCTCTCGACATTTTTCTAATCTATTTTGCTCTTTCACACACTCTTTGAACCTTTCCGTGATGTCTTATAAACACTGCGACTCTGATGTTTAACTTACTTCCTTTTCACTATACCGTTTTATGGTTTATTCTCTTTTTACTACCGTTGTTGGTTATTTTACTGTTATCTGTTTTGAGCTTTCATTTCATTTCATTTGAAAACAGTTCAACGCATGCGCTTTTGTTATCCGATGTCACCAAAGTTGAATCAGACTGTTATTCAAGGCTGTTTCTTCCATATAACATTTTCATTTGCTGCTGTTATCACCTTCAGTCACCGGGATTTAAAACCGGAAAATTTACTTTTGGACGATCAGTTGAATATTCGTGTCGCGGATTTCGGAATGGCTTCTCTCCAACCCGAGGGTTCCCTACTGGAAACTAGTTGCGGGTGAGTCCTATGCTCATTGCATCGTGTCATCTTCTGCGCTTTGTGATTTTACAAGAAATCTTCCGAAGTTCGTATGGCGATAAAAAGAGACCGAACTGACATCCCTATTTATTTCATTGTGGTTGTTCTTGAAAATATCGACGGAATCACAACAGTTTCCACGAGCAGTTTAGCTCCGCCTAATGTGTACTTGTGTATTTCGTTGCCTTTCCCTATACTTTCCCTTGAGTTTCATTGATATGCTGTGGTTGTGGTCGGCAATCTCCCACAAAACGAGAGGGGTAATCATTCAAAGTCAAAGTTTTATTATGGGAATAACTTGCAAGCTGGTGCTTCTCTTGTCCCATAGGATATTTACACAGATGAATCGTTACACATCGAAAAAGGAGTCGCATAGAGATCCGGGTAGGAGATAGAGAATGTAGGCTACAGTGATTTTCCGTTTGCTTTAGTGGACGAATGTGAGGTGTGCCAAGGTTTCGTCGAGTCTCTGCTTGAAAGATTCGTAACGTGGTACACACGTATAGAGGTTTTTAACTCTTGATTTCAGTTGTATTGGCCGAATTGACCGAGTATTCAGTATTCGATCAAATTTTGCAGCCAATAGCTTTCTTGGATATAATAGTTACCCAATTTGTCTTCCATGTAGTGTATCTTTTTATTGTTATTTAAGCTTTCATATTTTTGCATGATATTTCAGCCAGAAGGGAAACCACTACCGCAATGCTGGCAAAAAATAATAAATTGAGACATTTTGATTGCAAAATGCGCACAAACTACTGAACAAATGATAGAATTCAGGTGAAACCGATTTTATCAGTCGGTATCTGAGCAGACATGTAGTAGCTTCGTGCACAGATAGGCAGGACGAGATAATTTGTTAGATGGAGCGAGAGTACAAATGGTATTTTTCATTTAAGTAGATTGTGTAATGTGTTGGTTCTATTTGATACAATGTTGTCTGCAACCTGTATCAGGATATGTCCGGCACGATTACTGTTTATCAGACCAGGTAAAGGAATTTGGGAGACAGCGTATTATTGTAGGGCGACGCATCACTAACTGGGAAGCAGTCTGTTTTCTTGGTATATTTCATTTTTTTTTGTTTGACATGACTATGTGCACAAATTAATGATTTGGAGCACGGGGACTCCCTCTTGTATGTCAGAAGTGATCTATTACGTTGTCTCGTTTCAATGAAATCCTCGTGCTGAATAGCTAGTTCATTGTTGTAAAAGCAAATCGACTTGATATTCTTTCAACAGTTTATATCTTGTACGAACTTAAAATTCCTGAAAATATACATTTTTCTAGACAAGTCAAAATCGAATGCAAAACACAATACTGAAAGACCGTTATGCAAACTCGGCTGCTCACACTACGAACTCATGTTCAAATCAGCTCTACAATCACGGATTCCGTTAATTACATAAGCACCCATAATGTTAGAAGCTGGCTTAGACCAAATGATCAGTAGTCGTCTATCTATTCTTATTCGTTTACTACTGAAGGTGTTCATCAGAAACAGTTGCAGATAGAGCGATCGCAGTGGAACACAAAAAGATAAATGTTCCAGTGAATACTTACTGTTATCAAAATACTTATGTTTCTACTTGACACAGGCAAACATACACACACACGTGGAGTCTGAACTGTGTTGGCGATTATAGGAACGCTTGAATGCTTGTTAGTTGCCTTTTGAATTAAAGACCAGGTGGGAAAAACAAGTTGAAAGNTGAAAGAAAAAAGACGTGAGGGGAATTTTGCTTGTGACTAGAGAAATTTTATACCCTCCTTCCGGCATGTTTAACATTCTGTTCCGTGTTGCACTAAAATCCCCTTTGTTTCCAGCTTACGCGTTTCCTATTGATTTATCTTGTTAGGTATCAAATTACCATGTCACCTGCTTTTGAATAATTGCATTTTTTGTATCACTTGCTCTCTCGGGAAACTCATGGATTTTGATCGAACAGCTGCAGCCTATGTTTCAGCTTATGTTTTCTAATAAACAAATTATAGATTTGTCGTCTACTGTTTCTAGACAAGAGCCGTTTGGCCGTTACCTGACTCCATTGTAACAGACTCAATTGAAATTTGTTTTCAACCTGAGCGTCAGACCGTTTATAACTACCATAGTGTGAAAAATTTGCCAATGAGTACGCACTAAGTTTTCTTCATGGATTCTTTGAGATTAAACATTAACTTGTTTACACTTATTACGGTCAGTGATCTGTGTGTCAGGTAGGTTTGATACACTATGTTTTCGATATGACTCTAAAAACGAGCTGTTCACGTGCACGTTACACGACCAACAATCATCTCGCCAGACCTGGAAACTCTCCCAAGTAGGTTTTGCCACACTACGTTCATAACCGAGTGTTTGGTCCAAAAAGAACGCTGATTGTCTAGACGTGGTTTCGATCTGTCAGATATGTTCACTGTAACGCACTACGTAGCTGGTTGCAGGTGCGATCACACACAAACACACATCCGTTTTCTTGTTGTCCGTGCATTGTCAGCATACTATCTGTTTCTGTGGATGACCCGACAGATTCAAAGAGTTTCAGTGTGTGCATATACACGTAAATTTGGACTCTCATTTGTCGGCCCACGTGCGAATCTGCTTCTGTGTTGCTTTGACATCTGTACTTACCGCTTACACTACCCATGTGGTCTACCACGCCAATGTCGCACTTTAGATTGATCCCACTTCTCGCTGTACATACTTTTTCATCTAAGATTTGTTTGCGTTCGAGTGAAGTAATTTCAGACTGCCGTTTTCTGTCCAAATTAGTGTAAAACGTGACTGATAGCATTTTCTAACATGTTTTGATTTTGCCGCTCTTTTCTACTGTCCGTTACCTTATTCAATGGCCCATCCGGTACCGTTCCAAATATTGTTCTACTGCTTTTGGACCTATCCACCTTGTTTCGAATCGCCAAATAAAACTGATTGCATGCCACTTGAGAACTGTAATACTGAATAGTGGTGATCAGTGCTGTAGATATCCTGAGTAATCACACCGATCAAATTGGTTGAATCTTGTTTTACTTAGTTTTTGTTTTCTGCGATTGGACTTTTCATTTATGAAGTGCAATGTGTCTGATCCAACTGTTCCTGTGTTGAAATTGTGAAAAGTTTAGTGGCTTCAGTGGGATTCGAACCCACGCGTGGACGTCACTTTCGGTTTTGTGCCGCGCACGCTCTACCAGCTGACCTACAAAGTCACACCAACAGCGCCGATCTTTTCACATTCGGATCACCCAACTTTTCACAATTTTAACATAAGACTTCAATCTGTCAAGCAACCATTTGAGCTAACTGTTTCTATCAGTTTTTAACGTTTTCGTCGTTATGTGTAACGCTTTCCGTTTCAACTTAGGGAAAATGGTTGTAATCGGTTCAATTGTTCCTGTTTTCTTCGGTGTTCAGCGTGAAACGGAGTAGAAGGTAAAAACGGATTACATTTAACCCATGGTAGAACATACCCCAGAATTCCATTTAACCACATTGATCGACCAGCCCATAATTCCATGTTCTCAAATTCGATTACTGCAATCGCTGTTCCAGTTTACCGCATTTTAATCTTTTCCGAAATTGTGCCTGTAACCTAATAGTGTATTTGACAAAGACCTGATAAATTAAAATGATCAACAGTAATATCATTACTAGTATTATGAGAACAAAATCGATGTTGCGTTTTGATAACAATCTTTTTATTTTCTCACATTTTTTGCTCAAGAACTAAGAGTAATTTTGGCAGAAGATGCCTAATGCGTTTGTCTGCTTCGTTATCTTTCTCAACGTTTCATACTTCAACGGGTGGTGTTATTTTTCCGACAATTGGTCGTTACACATTTTTGGAGGTGCGAAACGGTTATGGACGTTGTAATACCGATTTATTTTCAGTATTGAATTCATTTGATCAGATAACCCTGAATTCTAAGTTTACATTCTTCCAAACATCCCTGCCCCCAATCTACGTGGTTGATGACACTAATCCAACTGGCCGAATATTGTGAATAGTATGCATGACGTTCGTTATTTCTTATCCCATAAACCATCTTCTATATCTCGTAAATTTTATTGTTTCTCATTTTCACTTTTCCCGTAAGTAAAGCCGTTCATCTGAATCGATTCAATAGTGAGGACCCTGAAAATTGAGTTAAAATGCAAGTGAGATTTACGTCTTTGAATCGCTGCGTTTCATTCGGGGAATGCGATAAGTTTCGAGCTGCTTAAGATTCGATTGTATGCCTCTCATTTCTGGCGTGCATAAATCCGATACCGGGTTTACCTTGATCTGATCAGTCGCGTATTTCACGGTCAGCTTGAATACTTGTGAAATGCCAATTCACTTTTATGCTTGATTCAGGAGCTTTTCACACCAACTTCTTTGAAATTGTTGCCCCTTGTTCTTCATAGAACTAGAGTTAGTGAATTCACCGCAAGAACGACCTTACATTTACACATTTCCTGGCGCAACTTCTAGCTTGTTTATTATATAATCGTTGGAAGCTATTTGGTGTTCGATGTACGAGAATGGTTTACACCATGAGTAGACCAGGTGTATCTTTTACCAGAGTAAAATTTCACGGACTCTGTAATCGGTCAGGTGAAAACACTGGAATGACGTCCTTTGTCGTTCATTGTCAGAGCAGACAGTTTGTAAATAGGTTGTGTCGTTCATAGTGGTTGACTGTTTTTGCTTCAATCAGGCCCGCTATCAGCTCCGTTTTGAGTTGATTGGCACCGTAGTAAAATACACCATCAACGCGAAGTACTTACCCCGAACGGATTTTCGATAATCCCAAACAAAAGCGAAATAAGAGTCAACTGCTTTTTAATTGTGTGAACTGAGAGCTATGCATAAAAGTCAATTCTGAGGGATATTCATTCCGAATCATTACCGATGCATCCCATTAATGTCTGGGAATCAGTTATGAATTAAAACTTTTCTTCATTATTTTACATCAATAAAACGAGGTTCTATTTAAACAAGGTTAGGGATGCCTGTAATCTGTTGTTTGTGAATGTCTTGTCTTGTGTGCGGTTGTGGAAGCTTGTTACTGAACGAATTAGGCACATTTGACTGGCAGAAATGTTTACTCAGTTCTTCCGTTGGAAATATCCTTCATTATTGTTATCCGATACCAAGGCTTCTCAAGAACAACGTGATTTACGAGTCTGTTCTCTGGAACTTACTTTCAAATAAAAAAACTATATTACTGGTCCCGTTTTGTATCAAATTCATCCTGCTTTTCATTCTGCGAGCTGTTTTTGAGGCCAACATGTCTAGTCAACCGAGCAAAGTGCAAAGTGATGCTACAAGACTGGGTGTCGCCGAGTTCTGCTCAGAAACTAGACGGTTTGGAATTAGCTGAAGTTGACCGTTTGTCGTACTTCGGTAGCTGCGTGACCAACGACGGTGGCGCATCAAAGGAGATAACCGCCCGCATTTCCAAAGTTCGAACAGCGTACGCAAGACTTAAACACCTGTGGCGGCGACGTGATGTTTCATTGAAGTTGAAAAGCCGCTTATACTGCGCCACTGTTCGATCAGTTCTGCTTTACAGTTATGAGACCTTGAATTTGCGGATAGAGAACATCCATCTCCTAGTGGTTTCCAACAGTCGCTGCTTACGTAGTCTAGCCCAGGGTGGGTCAAGTAAGCGGATTAGTAACCTATGAGTAAGTCGTCGGGTATTTTGGAATGCACCAAACAAGAAATGGCTATCTCATCGAATCCAACTCAGTAGGCTCAGTTGGTTAAGACACGTTTTGCGTATGTCCGACGGTCGCCTACCGCAACGCGTCTTATTTGCAGTGGCCTTTGTTGGCTGGAGAAAGCCGCGTAGAGGCCAGCAGATGATGTGGAGACGAGGCATGAAGAAATGCACAGAGCGATTAGGTAGAGTAGGAGTTTGCCGTCTTTTGGGTTGGGGTCCAAAAGACTCTAACTGCATGGTTGGAGACACTGAAGGTCATGGATGCGAACCGACAGCGATGGCGATTATGCTGTCACTTCTTATCAGACTAGAATGCTTGAAATAGTATGTATACGCAATTGGACTGTGCACTCTGTGTGTTGACCATAGAGGTTCACTTTCTTTTCCCGCACCTAAAAATAAGCCCAATCCCTGTATTCCTAACACATTCTCGCAAACCTTGTATGCAATATGAGTTTGGCAGCGATCAGTAAAGTTCGCTTCACTTTACTACGCTGTACAGTGATGATGATGATGAATCGACCGAGTGTGCACACTTCACTTGGGATCCATGGTTGGTCTCAATAGTCTTGTGTGAGTTCACATCGACCTTTGAGGATATGTGACTCACTTCAACCTTAATTTTGTGATGCTACACATTGTTCTCTATTGTTCAGTTTGTTATCCAATGTACTGTAGAGGCTGTTCGTCCTATTCTGCGGGGCGTTGGCAACACTCAACTGTTACTTTTTTCTTTCCCTCGAAATATAAGGGATAAAAAACACAACTTTAACAACAAAAATGTAATGTCTGAATCTTGCTACCTGAATATCACTTACCCAGATACCTATGGGCGTCTGTGTTGCACGGAGTTTACCGGGACTGTTGGGATAGGAATGAACTGATTTGAATGCATCTCACCATGCTGTTTGTGAATGCTGAACATTTGCGGAACATGGGTGATATCGGTAAGATCAAAAACGACCAGGCCCTGTTATTCAAATGGCACTACAGTCCCCGAACCGATTGATAACACAATTCCCATCCTTGTCTTTACTTTAATTCTCCAGCTCACCACACTATGCCTGTCCCGAGGTTATACGAGTAAGCCTGTGCCAGCGAACCGCATGTGTCCCAGAAGACTAGCCATCTATGGTTTCTGTCTTCGTCCTATCTTCCCCTTTCCCTGCCGTTGTCCTTCGCTAGATCTTCACCTCCTTCAACGTTTGCAGCATGGATTGACACCTGCATACTTCCTTGTGCACAATGTTTGTGTCTCAGAGTCAACTGGAATGGATGAATTACCACTTGTTTACATCACCGCCCTAAAATAACAAAATCTGACCTTTATGTTGTTTTCTCCTCCCTGTCCAGTTAACTGTTGCAGACTGCGAAGCATGATTTCCGTTGTCAGACCCGTTTCCGTTCTCATTATCCACGTTTGATAAACATGTCCAAATAATTTGCTCTCACTTTTGCCAGGGGGAAAAATACGATGGACGAATGGCCGATGTTTGGTCATGTGGAGTGATCCTGTACGCGTTGCTAGTGGTGAGTCTCCTCTAAAAGATATATGTTGCTTGAGTTAGCGTGCCTGAATAATATGGTAAGTGACGTTTCGCAGTCAAATAGTGTCATTCCCAAAGAGGAAAATTCTGGGTCCACTATTCCACTCTGTTCTCTAAGTGAGCAGATGGTTCAATGACGTGCTGAAACTGTGAAGCGTTAAACACGAGTCGAAATCATCAAGAAGTAATGCATTCCGCTGGCTTCAACATGTACTACTTATTACTGCGAAATCGATCCCTATTGGCTGTTGTTCACGTCAACGGCACACGTCTGACAATGTTCATTTGGCTCGGAAGCTCAAAGATTTTGATGGCAGTTTTTATCTTTTCCGGCTCCTGACTGGAGTATCAAATGTCATTGATGTGAAGATAACATCAGTATTGTTTAGGATCGAAACCAGTTTCGAGTGAACTGGAAATGCTACCTACTAATTGCATCCAGCTGCGTTCATATGACTTCGTAATCTTTAACGATTAGCTACAATGTATCTTTTTTCGGAAGATGTGGTCGCATATACTGGTTAGAAAATAGTCTCTGAATCAATACATAAAATTTACACACCCCTGGATTTCCTGGATCGATATACATTGTCAGAAAAACCACAATATATTGTGAAATAAAGTGATACAAATTGAATCTGCTAACTTTTTTACTCTCATCATAAATATTCCTATTCATTTGGGGACAGTGACCATCAATTTCCCCTCCTCATTCCGTTCAAATTCCAATTTATGTATAGTGCTACTGCTTTCTGCCCGGTCAGGTGCATAGATTATCCACCGAATTTTATACACGCGTGCACTGGTGTACCTCAATCAGGTCGAGAAACAAAGCACACGATCACTGTTGAAATAATATGCGTTTGCACTGCGCGATCGATGAATTCCCACTCGTGAGACCAACCTCTCCCCACCTCAGTTTTTTACTCGGAGATGCTTTGCATCACTTTTTTCCTAGGGTGGTCCGTGGGGCACGTCACAAACAAACAAACAAAACGGTACTCGTCTATCATTCCCATTTTTCATGCGTGTCAAAACGGTCAGCATAGAGTGTTATTCGTATTCATTTCAGTCACCCATTTTCTTCTTTCGTATGAATAGATGACACACCAGAGCATTGGTTTTTGTGCAGTATACAATTCCCAAATGGAACGTGAATGCAAACACACTTGCCCTGGGTGTTGGTGATACATTTCTCTCTCTCCCTCTGTGTGCGTGTGCGAGTGACTCGGCTGCACATGCGGGTTGATGCTTTCCAGCATATCATCACTATCACCAAGGGACGCATATGCATTTTTCGATTTCATTGCACTTTGTTCTGTACGCTTTATCCCCNCCCCCCCCCAAATGCGTGTTTGATGTTCTCATAGTTTTGAGTTTTCGTATTTTTTTTAGATATGTACACCCATGGGATGCGAAAGCTACAGCTCAGATTTGGAAAATATTTTATGCAGAGCAGCATGAGAATTCATTCTTTTTAATAAATGATTCGCGTTCCACGAGGGTGTTTATTAAGTTGAGCACACGTATTCTAAATGCTTGTGGCTTTTTATTCAGTGTTTAGTGAATAAGCAAATTAATGGAAATATTCTAGCTTAAATAAACTAATAAATTAGTTGGCTACTAGCTGCTCACGCATTATTCACAGTACTGAAAGAACTGAAAGCATAGTCCAGTAAACATGAAGTTGATCTTCGAAAGTTGGCCTTGTGGTGTGCGGCTCGTTGCATAAGCGTCTTGTAGTGTCACCATACCCAACCGGATGAAACATTCAAATGGTTTTGGCGTATAATTGAAGCCTAGAGACAACCTAATCAAGAGGCGCATACATTCGATGACTTAGTTGAAGCTTTGTGGAAGTGCTTCAATGTGAACATAAGTCCGATTTGTTGCATATTCAACGAAATTTCTCCATCAAAACAAACCGAGAGGAACAAAGCCGTTCATATCAAAGCAAGACGATGATTTTATTTGGTCGCAGCAGAGAGGTGTTGCACAAACCGATCTGGGGGATAGTCCGAGTTAATTAGCCATTTTTTCCTCACACTTTCCTTTGGGAAATTGTGGTTCAATTTAAACTGCAGCTGAGGCCACGTAATATAAAGCCATTATGGAGCGCCCAGCAAAGCATAGCACGTATTAATTTTACCAACTAATCATAATCGCATCGCCCGTCCGTTTGACAATGGGTTTATCTCACTGGTGGCCAACGAGTAATTCAGTATGCAGTGAAAGCTGATCTACCGAGTTGATTGTCTAGTGAATTTCGTTTTACCAGTGAAAAGAAGTAACTATTCATCTCGCCTGACTAGGTGGAAGGGAGGTAAATACTGAGTACCTTGTTAGTGGTCTGCTGTGAACACCAATCTGGATGTCGCAAAATGTTTTGCACTGAAAAAGGAAGTTTTTGGTAACCGCTAGTCTTTAAATGCATTCGCAGAAGTCAAGCTTTTCACAGATGAATGTTGGTATATCTTCTCGCTTGAGGTTTGTAGTAGAAAATCGTCAAATTTAATTAAATCTTGTTTTTTCACATTTATGCAGCCTCTTGGAGGGGGGGTCATATTCATTTAATTTCCGCGCAGAAGCTGGGATTTTAATTTCATTGATAACTTTTCCTTACATCAGAAACAGGGATCAGTTAATTACGTCAACATTGGTCGTCAGTGGTTGAGATGCGAGGTGTATCAGAGGAAACTGGCGAATTCTNTAGACGAGATGAAAGTACAATAGGTGTATGAATTCTATGAGTCATTATATTAAATAAATTCTAGTTATGTTTTCTACTATGAGTCTGTTATTTTGCATCTATAGCACCAGTAACCATCATGTTCTTCCAGCCGTTTCCACAATATAGTGTTTCAGTGACATTTTTCTCGCAAATCTTGCAATGCACCCGATCTCTATTAGTTCTCCCTATGCTGCATGATTTCGACCCCGACAAAACATAGGATACTGTTCATAATCCGTCATAATAATGCAATCGATATTTTCTCGTGATTTTGAAGAATTTCATTGCATCTTTGTCATCTGAAATGCATTTGGACAAGATCGTGTCATGTGCATCTTTATTTTTCCTCCATCTTCTATCTAAAATACAGGGCGCACTTCCTTTTGACGATGACAATCTGCGGAATTTGTTGGAGAAAGTTAAAAAAGGTGTATTTCACATTCCCCCGTTCGTTTCACCCGACTGTCAGTCCTTGCTGCGTTCCATGATCGAAGTGGATCCGCGCAAACGAATTACGGTAAGTTTGACTGCATGTGTCGTGGCGGTCAGTGCGCATTTTCCAACGCGCACTAATGAAATTTTCCGTTCACTGAATACAGCTGTTCTGTATTACGGGTTGAACGGGACACGGTTATGCAAACGTTTAGGATTGGATATAGGATTTAGATATTCTTATTATTCCAAATATGTTTACTT